CACTTCTTCGAGCTCCGCGTCTTCAGCAAGATCTAGGCGCTCCTCAAGTAGCGCCCCGGAGCTGGGCTCTCTCCAGCCAGGTACTTCTCGGCGAAGTACTCGCACATTAGCCCGTCCACGGTCTTCGTGTCCAGAAGGCGGCCCTTCTCCACCGCCCGCTGCTCGAACTGCGCGAGCCTCGTCCTGTGCGCCTTGAAGGTCGGCGCGGTCGCCGTCGCCAACCTCAGCAACTGCCTGCCTGGCACAGCACGCTGCGGCTCGGCAAGACGCCTGGCCGTCTCGCGGCGGCGGGCGCACTTGTCCCGCTGCGACTTGTCCAGCCCGCTCTGCACTCGCATGACCGAACAGCGCCCCATGCGTGGCGACGTAGGCGGCGGATCCCTGGGCGGCGTCATCGCCCTCTGCGCCGAGATCGCCGACCCCAGGCTTGTCTGCATTGACGTTCGAGCGAAGCGGCTGGCGGCAACCATCTCGAAACTCAGCTCTCCAGGTCTTCGCCCACTCAGGCTCCAAGGGCAAGCCGCGGTCGTTCGCATCATCATCATTAGAGATCTCCGACTCTCCAACTTCTTGAGCCACAGCGTTGGCTAAGGCTGCACACAGATCATCAGGATACCGACCAGCAAGTTTCGTTCGAAGAACCCGACGATGTGCCCAATCGTCCTCTTTAACCCTGATGCGCCCCACCAGCGGTACGTGTACATGCGGTTTATCACATGTAATGGCGACCTGGTCGATGTACTGCGAGCTTGCCATGATATATATATATATATATATATATATATATACGTAGGCTACTTGTGGTCTGCACCGTACATGCACATGTCGAACGAGATGAATCACATCCACACTGAATAAAGCGAAAAAAACAACTCCTAAGTGCTCCCGAGCCTCGGCCCTCGCCCAATTTTTGATTCCCCTCCGGGCAACGGACCAGATACTGCACGGGGTCCCCAGGTGAACATGTCGAACTTCCCTTCTCTGAAGACGGATTTCTGCACTGTTTTACTACTCAGGTCGAATTCCACTCCACGCTGCAACTCGAAATGCGGGCCTGCGCGAAGACCACGATGCTGGCAGGTAAGCGAGAACTCCGTTCGCTGCAAAATCGAGGCCCCGCTGCCACATTTCTCGAGCCCAAAACTGCAGACGACGGTGCCTCAACGTCGCATCTGGGCGATTCCACAGCAGGCTAGACACAGAGAACGAGAGATATATAGAAAGAGAGAGAGAGAGAGAGAGAAAGAGAGAGAGAGAGAGAGAGAGAATGAGCGAGCGAGCGAGCTACCGAGGGAAGGACAGAGGGAGGAAGGGCGCAGGCCGCCTCCCTTCCCTCCCCTCTCCCCTCTGCCCTGTGCCTCCCCCCCAGGCCCCGCACCGCTCTTGCGCTCCCTGTCGAGCTCCTCCGCGCAGACCCTGAGCTCCTCAGGTCGGTGGTTCAAAGGTGGGGCCCTGAGTGGTGAGGCCCTACGGATGTGAAGGGATCCAAACGTGGATTTACGTTGCCCGAAACACCTCATCCTTAAGGCCCCATCCCTCAGGACCCCATCTTTTTAACCACCGATCCAGGGGTGGCAGAAAAGAACGGAAACCGCCACTCCCCCGACCTCTCCTGGGATGCGTTCTAACCAGAATTTCGAGTAACATCCAGCCGTGGCGACGAGAGCTGCCCAGGACGAGCAGCGGAATCGGTGCCTTCACTGAGATCCGACGTAGCCCCCCGAAAACAACATCGCGAACAAAACACGACCAGAGCCCTTGACCCCGTCTTCCTGCGCCGTTTTTCGATCGGGATCGATCATGGGTCCCGAAGCCCGACGAAAACGCCTGGTGCGAAAACACTATTTATTTTTCCGCGGGTCGAGAGCGCACCTCTTCCAGCCGAAGCTAAGCCGGCCGCGCGAAAACTTGACCTGGTGTGAAAACACGCGCGTCGTGAAAACTCACAACGTGAGCCCCAGGAGGTCTGGACCCCTTCCCCAGGACTGGCTCAGGATCCCAAGTCGTTCTTGTTGAAGGTCCCGAGGCCCAGCGAGGGCTCCAAGAGGAGGACTCTTGCCAAACACATTTGTCCGCGCATTCTTCCACTCCACAACGCGAGGAGCATGTGTCGCCGCGCTGGTTGTTCTGAACGCGCCCATGCGGACGACACCGACGCCGCGGCGGAGCGCCGTCAAATACTGCGTCTCGAGCCCAAACAGACGACGCCGGCAACGCGGCAAACCCCACGGCAAACCCACCGCGCTCGAGGCGGCGTTCGCCCTGGTGCCCGCGGCACCCTCCCCGAGACGGAAGGCCGCGTGTCGGAACAAACGGCGCGGCGACGTGTCTGGATACCAAGACCCCCGACGTCAAGGTATTTTCACAACGTCGACCCCCGAAGGTCTCGGCTTTTCATGCCGAGTTGTTTTTTGACGGTCCCGAGGCCCCGGTAAGGGCCCCCCGAGGGCCGGGAATTTTCCGCCAAAATTCGGTTGAAGTCGGGCGTGTCCCCCTACAGGGGGATTTTGGGCGAAGAAAAAAAGGTACTCAAAAAATACGCCCCGAATGAGCAAAAATAGTACAAACATCGTCCCCAGACTATTCCTTAAACTATTTTTGAGTATTCCCCCTGTAGAGGGACAGGCCCGACTTAAGATTAGGTCATGACGCGAGGGGGTCTGGGCACCTGCACCTCCCTTGTGCTGCATCTTCGGGGGGCCTTGCCGGTCCGGTCGCGTCCCTATCCGCGTCGAATCCGTGCCGAATCCATGTCGGACTCGTCACACGCTGAATCCGCGTCGGACCCGCGCCAGATCCGCGTCGAGTCCGCGTCGGGCCCGAGAAAAGACACCAACTCTGGGGGACAGGCGAGGTCCCCTCGGCGGCGACGATGCGGGCGAGTGGCCCAGGGGCGGGCATTACACGCGTTCGCCTGGGAGCCTTGTCGAAGACATTAGATCATCGGCGCCCCCGGATGCATGCATTGCTCCCCCCCTGGGCTGTTCGCCCCCATCGTCGCCTCCGATCCCCCCGCGATGCATCGTGACACCCCCCGCTCCCCCTCGAGCTCGGCGGCCGCCCTGCCGCGCTCCTCCTCGAGGCCCCCGCGCGCCCCGCCCTGCCCCTCCGCCTCGCGGCCGGCGGCCGCCTCCTCGCCGCGCCCCTGCGCGCAGGCCCGGAGCTCCTCCCGGAGGCCGGCGATGGCCCTGCCCTGCTCCTGCGGGTGGGGGCCAGCGCAGGAGGGGAGGACCCCGCGATCCTGGCCCCGCGCGAGGCGAGCGCCGAGGGCCCCGAGGCCCCTCCGAGGCCCCCGAGGGCCCTGGCGTCCCTGCCCCTGGGGCGGACGCGGAGGCTGTATCGCCGCGGGGTGCTTCCCAGCAGCTCCGCCTCGTCGAGCGCGCCCTGGGCGTGCCAGACTCGTTCCGACCGACCGCTGGAGGCCCGAATTTTTGCCTGAAAGCCGAAACCTGCGACGATCCCTGAGACCCTGGCGTCTCAATTTCCAGCCATCTTGTGGTGTTGGGTCCTCGTTTTGAAGGGACAGTCTCCGCGTCCCTCCTCCCTCCTTCCTTCCTCCCCCTCCCCCCTCCTCCTTCCTCCCTGCGTTTCACCCACCCAGTACAGCGCTTCGTGGCCCCATAGAGAGCTGGACCGCCCGCATGCGTCCGGGAAATCCAATTTGGCATTTTCGCCCACCCAGTACAGCGCTTCGTGGCCCCATAGGGAGCTCCTCCGAAGCCCCCAGCGGGACCTTCCGCATGCGTCCCGGAAACCCAAGCTGGCATTTTCACCCACCTAGTACAGCGCTTCGTGGCCCCATAGAGAGCTCCACCGAAGCCCATAGTGGGACCACCCGCATGCGTCCCCGAAGCTTGCTTTGCGACCCATTACAACGTTTCGTGGCCCCATAAGGAGCTCCACCGAAGCCCCCTCTGGGACTGTCCGCGTGCGTCTCGGAAACCCAAATTTGGCATTTTCGCCCATCCAGTACAGCGCTTCGTGGCCCCATATGAGCTCCACCGAAGCCCCCAATTGGACCGCCCGCATGCGTCCCGGAAGCCCACTTTGGCATTTGCACCCGCCCAGTACAGCGCTTCGAGGCCCCAGAGGGAGCTCCACCGAAGCCTACAGCGGGACCTTCCGCATGCACACCTTCGTGGCCCCATAGGGAGCTCCACCGCCCGCATGCCTCCCACACGCCAAATTTGGCATTTTCGCCAACCCAGTACAGCGCTTCGTGGCCCCATAGGGAGCTCGGCCGACGGCCCCAGTGCTACCGCCCGCATGTGTTACCCCCCACCCAGTGCAGCGCTTCGTGGCCCCATGGGGAGCTTCACCGAAGAAGATATTCACAATTGCGGTACCCACCAAGACGGCTCCAAGAAGGCGCCCTGACGGGGGACCCCAACGAACATTTCGAGCCCTCGGCCCCGAGAGGCTCCCAAGAGGCCCCCAGACCCCAGACGCCCCCAAGAGGCCCCCAAGAGGCCCCAAGAGGCCCCGAGAGGCCCCCAGGAAGCTCCAAGGGGTCCCGGGGAGTGGTCCCAGGTCAGAATGCCACCCTCCCGGGTCGGGAGCGCGCAAGGCCGAGGCCGAGACCCCCGGGGTCCGCGGCACCGGCCGCAAGGCCTTCGCAAGTCACGATTGCGGTACCCACAACTGCACATGGTTGGGTCCTTCGCCAGGACAATTTTCTCGAGCAGGCCGATTTCGCCCGAGCTCGGGCCACGGGACCCTCACAGGTCGATCCAGCTCGAGAAATGCCGCAGAAAGATGGGGCCCTGGACTCCTTGCGCAATCTCTTGCCAACTTTTTCGCGCCGTCGGATCCCAGGGGACGTGGAGTTCCTGCGGTTCTCCGACGTGTTCGTGGATCCTCGGCGGCTTTCCAGGCTCGGGAGGCCTTCCAGCGGTTGCGCCTCGCCGAGAGCGTCCTGGGGGTGCCCTGGATCGGCCCGAGCGGCCGCTGCAGGCCCGAGAGCCGCCGGGGGTACGGCTCCGGGGAGGAAGGCGTGGAGCAGAAAACGGCGGTGCACCGCCGACAGAGCGGCGATGCAGTCAACCCGCAGAGTAAGGATGCGCGATGAGGATGCAAGGGCCCTGGACGCCCAATTCGAAGCTCTTCGAGCGGGGAGCGGCCAACGAAAGTGGCCAAGGATGGACCCAGGAAGCAAGGATGCAAGGGTACCCTTGGGAGGGATGCCAATCCTTACTCTGCGGGTCGACTGTAGGCCCCCGACAGCGGAACCGCACAGTCCTGGGCGGGGCGGGCTATCTCGCGGGCGCGCAAACGTGGATTAACGATCCATGGGTTTGGCGCGCGGTCGCCGAATCCACGGATCGGGGGAGGTGCCCTCCCCAGAGTGCGGCCGGTGCCGCCTCGTTCGGCGGCGGAAATCCGCGACTTCTCATGGAAGCGGGACCCGTCGCTAATCCACGCCCCCTTGATCCATGTTTGCGATCGCGTGACTATCGGGCCCCATCGGCGATGAATGGGCGATTGGGGGTCGATGTGCTCCCCCCGAGCCGATCCCCAGGAGGGCCCAGCATCGAATCGGTAAGTCGGACCAGCAATCGAAATACATCGGATCGGCGGTGATCGGCAGCCAAGTCGGGAGAAGTCGAATCGGCGGAAATCGGCAGGCTAGAAAGGCCTTCATTGAAACACCGGAGTCCGAAACCGAATCGAATCGGAATCGAAGGCCGTCGAAGTCGAATCGGATCGAATCGGGGGAGTCGAGATGAGCTCCGCATCCCCGCCCGACGTTGCCCCTGGGCTCCAGAGAGGCCGCGGCCTGCTCCTCCAGGCTGGCCCGGAGCTCTCTGTTCCGCTCCTCCTGCATGCGAGCAGATGTGTCGCCGCGCCGTTTGCTCTCGACGCGCCTCAATGGACGACCCCGACACCACGACAAACCCATGGCAAAGCCTGCGTCCCGCGCCCAAGTAGACGAAGCCGGCATCGCGGCAAACCCCACGGCAAACCCACCGCGCCAGAGGCGGCGTTTGCCCTGGTGGCAGCGGCGCCCTCCCCAAGACAGAAGTCCGCGCGTCAGAGCAAACGGCGCGGCGACATGTGAGCCCTCCCCCACCTCCTCGCGCTGCGAACCAAAAAACTCAAAAATGGTTCGGGGCAGTTTGCGGCCTCTGGGGGCCCTCGCCGGGCCCTGGGACCTTCCAAAACGATTCAGGATGAGAAACGTGCCCTGGGGAAGGGGTCCAGACCTCAGGGGGTCCGCGCTGTGAACAAATCGCGGCGTTTTCGCCCCGTTTTGGGGCCCGAGGCCTTATTACATCGATCCCGCTCGAAAAATGGCGCAGATATCAGGGCCCTGCAGGCCAGACTTCTGAAACGCCGAAGGGGGTCCAGGATATGAAGGATGCCTGCAGCCAGGTGGACCCCAGCGGAGGTGTCCGCTACCCCTCGGCGACTCCGAAGAGTGTGGTTTGCGAAGGGTGTGGTATGCAGCCTGCACCCTGGGGGGCACCCTGGGGGGGGGGCGGCGGGGACCTAGGCAGAGCTCTCCGCCGCGCCCCTAGAAGGCCCGACGAGGATGGCGTCGTGCACCCCCAGGCCCCGACGACCCAGACCGCAAACTCCTCCTCCTCCTCCTCCTCCTCCTCCTCCTCCTTCTCCTACTCCTCCTCCTCCTCCGCCTCCTCCTCCTCCTCCTCCATCTCCATATCCTCCTCCTCCTCCTCCTCCTCCTCCTCCTCCTCCTCCTCCTCCTCCGAACCCCGCCGTCGATTGGCCCCGCAGGGGGGCAGGGTTCGCAGGCGGTCGCCGCGCCTGCCCCTGGCACTGGCCCTGGGCCGCGGCCGCGGCGGGCGGCGGCGGGGCAGGGGCCTGGCAGCACCTCGTCGGACAGTGGTGCAGCCAGGAGCGCCCAGCATCGAAGCGAGAGGTCTGACTACCTACCAGACCACACCAACCCAACCCGAAGACCCGAATTTCGGGTTGGGGGGGTAGGGTTCCACATGTGTTTTTTCTATGTTTCCCGACCCCCCCCCACTAGAAATCGAGGGTAAATCTGAGCCTTCGGGTTGGGTTGGGGTGGTTTGGTGGGTGGTGAAGGTCGGACCGGCGATCGACGCAAGCCGGATCGGCGGCGCTCGGCAGCCAGGTCGGGAGAGGTCGAATCGGCGGGGATCGGCGGGCCAGTACGGCCTCCACTGAGAAGCCGAAATCCAGGTCGAAATCCGAAGTCGAGCCGAATCGGAATCGGGATCGATCGAAATCGAATCGAACCGAGTCGGAGGAGCCGAGACGAGCCCTTCACAACAACGTGCCCTGGGCCCCAGGGCCTTCCCCCAGTGCCAGGCTCTTGGTCCTGAGCCATCTTGTGACGACCCCTTCGGCCCGTGGAGGGCCCCAGGAAGCCCAAAACGGGGCACAATCTCAGGTCGAAAGCTGGGCGAGGGCTGCTAAAACCGTGGCTGCTAAAACGGCCCTCCCAGAAGGGAAAAACAACTTCCCGGAATGAGGCGCGGCACGCGAAACAGTCGACGGGCTTCTTCCCGGAAGGACGAAGACAACTTCCCGGAGGTCGATTTTACCAGCCACGGATTTAGCAGCCCTTGCCCGGCTTCCGATCAGGACCCGTCCCCCTCCCTGAGATCCGACGCTGCGACAAAAAATGCAGCGTTGCGAAAGTCACGACTGTAGCCCTGGACTCCATCTTCCTGCTTTCCCAGACCCCCTCGAGTCATGAAAAAAACTGTGGGAATTTGTGTCGCTACTTGCTTTGGCCTCTGGGGGCTCTTGACGGGCCTCGGGACCGTCAAAGACGACCCAGTCCTGGGGAATGGGTCGAGACCTCTGGGAGTCGACGTTATGAAATAATCATGACGTCGGGGTCTGAGTTAGAGGCCTCTTTAGATGGGGTCCGATCAGAAGGGGTCGGAGGATCGCGCCGCATCGCCAATGCATCGCCGATGCATTGCCCGGCGATACATCGGCCATACATCGGCGATGCATCGGCGACGTCGGAGGTGCATCGGCGACGCCAGCGCGGTGGAAAGCGGCCCCACATCAGGCCGCATCGCCGATGCATCGGCGATGCGGCGCGATCCTCCGACCCCACCCACTCGACCACATCTGGGAGGCCGAGACCCTTTCGAGCCCGATCGATCTGTGATGGCCCAAAGGGGCCCGAACGTGGGCCGAGCCGCCCCGTGCGCAGACGCTGCGACGCCCCGACCTCGCCGCCCGGGGCCCTCTTCCCCTCCACGGCGGCCTCTCGTGGGTGAAGCCGCCGTCCCAGCAGGCGGGGTTGCCGCCGGGGCCCATCTGCGGGGTGCAGCACAGCGTGCAGCTCTCGAGCGCGTTGAGCGTGCCCCGGGGGAAGCACGTCGGGTCCCGCAGCGGCAGGCACTCGTGCAGGGGCGCGCCGGCCTCTGCGAGCTCCTTCCGCCGCGCGCGGAACGGGAAGGCGAAGGCGGCGAGGAAGCCGGGGGTATCCTGCGAGGCCAGGACCCCCTCGAGGCAGGAAACAAGTCACGACGGAGGGTGTTTCGCTGCTTCCAGCCTCTGGGGGCCCTCACCGGGCCTCGGGCCCATCCTCAAAACGACTCGGGACGAAACACCGGTCCCAGGGGAATGGGCCGAGACCTTCGGGGCCGACGGCCTGAGAAGAATCATGACGTCGGGGGTCTGCGAGGCGGGGACTAATCCATAACCGCCGCGCTGGGCATCGACCTTCGGGGACCTCGGCAAGCGGTGGATATCTGCGTGGGCAGAACTTCACCACGTCGGCACTGCTCACAAAGGCGCCTGCGGGGAACGCGAGGCTTTGGGCCCCTCTGCGGCCCTGGACCTGGCTGACAGCCCCGAAACGCGGACCGCAGCATCCAGTGTCCCAACTTGACTTCAACCGACCGAAATCTCGGCCAGCGCTTCTATGGATATATGCGTGGCCCCCCCGGGGCCCGAATATGTTCATACGTAGCCGCCGCCTGCCGAGGCCCCTGAGGATCGCTCCCCCAGGCGGCGGTCATGGACAAATCCCCGACCCGGATGTCCGGCTTCGCGATCCCCTGCTGGAACACCGCCACGTACCGCTCGAAGTCTGCCCGCCGGAGCGGCAGCGGACTGTGCGCGTCCATGCAATCCATGCACACGCTCAGCAGCTCCGTCATCCTGCCAGCCCACTTGACGATCCCCATGAGGGAGCCCTGTTCGGAGCAGGGCTGGTCGAGACAGCGGCAGCTCGAAACCGGTCCCCGGATCCCTCCCGGGGTCCAGACGCACCCGTTTCCTGGGCCGCGTCCAGCCGTGGCGCCGCCGCACCAGTTTTTCCGGGCTGCGTCCAGCCGTGGCGCCGAGGGGGCCCCCGCGAAGGCCAGCCACCGTTGTCTCCGCTCGCCCCCCTCCGACCTTCACCAGCCACTGCTGTGTGCAAACCATGGCGAGGGCCACCTCCAGGCAGGCACAGGCCCTCCAGCCCCTGCCCACCCTGAGAACCGACGCTGCGACCAGAACGCGCCCTCGCTAGGCAAGAGCGACCTGGGCGCTGGACCCAGTCTTTCTGCGCAGTACTTCGAGCCCGTGGCCCCAGACAAGGCCAAATCGCCCGTTGCGAACAAAAATGCGACGCCAGGGCCACCAGGCGCGCCGCCGCCGCCGCCGCATCGTCGCCGTCGCGGCCCGCCGCCGCCGTCGCCATCGCCGCCGTCGTCCGCCGCACCGTTTCTGCCGCCGCTGCAGCCGCCACCCCAGACCCCCCACGTCATGATTTTTTCATGACGCGGACCCCCAGAGGTGTCGACCCATTTCCCTGGACCAGAATTTCATCCTGAATCCTTGCTTGACGGTCCCGAGGCCCCGTGAAGGCCCGCAGACGTCCCCAGATAGCAAAACACCGCCCGTCATCATTTTTCCACGACGCGAGGGTGTCTGGGGCCGCTGCCGCCGCCACCGCCGCCACCGCTGCCGCTGCCGCCGCCTCCGCTGCCGCCGCCACCGCTGCCTCCGCTGCCGCCACCGCTGCCGCCGCCGCTGCCGCCGCTGCGGCCGCCACGGCTGCCGCTTGCCGCTTGCCGCCGCCGCCGCCGCCGCCGCCACTGCCACCGCTGCTGCCGCCGCCGCCACCACCGCTGCCGCTGCCGCTGCCGCCACCTGCCCGGGCAGGCACAGGCCCTCCAGGCCCTGCCCGCCGCCGCCCTGCAGCGCGCCGTCCCGCAGCCGCAGCACGTCGCCGATGTCCAGCGCGGCCTCGCTGTTCGGGAGCGCGCCGGCGTCCTCGGCGCAGCCCTGCCGCAGCACCCAGGCGGTGGACGGGTGCTGCGGGTCCTCGGGGGCCTCCCGGATGGGCTCAGAGCAGGGGAGGGGGGCGGAGGATCGCGCCGCATCGCCGACGCATCGGCGAGGCGACGTCGGCGTGGAGGACCTCGGGGTCCACATCGAGCCCGATGGCCGATGCATCGGCGATGCGGCGCGATCCTCCGACCCCACCTGCTCCTGAGCATTATCTTTGGGTGGAGCGCTCAGGGTGAAATCCATATGGGCTCTTGCACTTCGAGAATCAAGCCAGCTTGTGATATTCACCTTTGGCAGATTCAGGCCTCGAAAATCCATCGAAGCGGCATTTCAGATTTCACCCTGTGCCCTCCGCCCAAAGAAAATGCTCGGCGTGGAGAACCTCGGGGTCCACATCGAGCCGGATGGCCGATGCATCGGCGATGCGGCGCGATCCTCCGACCCCACCTGCTCCTGAGCATTATCTTTGGATGGAGGGCCCAGGGTGAAATCCATATGGGCTTTGGAGGGCTCAGGGTGGAATCCACATGGACTGCTGCACTTCGAGAATCAATCCAACTTGTGATATTCACCGCTGGCAGATTCAGGCCTCGAAGCTCCATCGAAACGGTACTTCAGATTTCACCCTGTGCCCTCCGCCCAAGGACAATGCTCGGTGCTCCGACCCCGTCCATTTGGGGGAGGCATTCGGCGGCGTTGATTGGGGCGAATAGCCCAGGGGCGGGCATTACACGCATTCGCCCAGGAGCCTCTTCGAAGACATAGATCGTCGGCGCACCTGAATCCATGTATTGCTCTCCCCTGGGCCATTCGCCCCTGTGGTCGCCTCTGAGGCATAGGATCCTGGAGGGCCTGCGGCAGGTCCTGCACGTGGGTCAGGACGCTCGGGCGCTGACAGGGGTGCCCCACGCCAGGCCCTGCGGCTCTGAGATCTGGGCGACGCTGCTCTTGCACACCGGGCGCTTTCACACAATTTCGCGCCCAAGGTAAAGGGGCCCTGGGACGCACAAGTAAATACACACAAATTCGCCGGCCCAACGGGCCAGAGGCGTGCTAAGATCTCCGGTAACTGGTAAACAATATTTCTGGTTCGCGCGCGCGGGGCGGCCCCTGGGGGTCCCTGGATCAAAAGTACCCCGAGAGGAGCCCGGGACACGCCCGGGACACGCCCGGGACACTCCCCCAGATCCTCCAGGATCGCCCCAAGAGGGCCCCAAGAGGCCCCCAACACAATCCAAGAGAGGTCCGAGACGCCCGAAGATCGCTCCACGGCGCCAAAGATGGCCTCCAGACGGCCCAAGAGGTCTCCAAGATGACCCAACAAGCCTCCAAGATGCCCCAAGAAGCCTCCAGGAGCACTTCCAAGAGGGCCCTAAGAGGCACAAATCAATGTTTTTTCTTCGGTTTTGGACAGATTTGGGCGTTTCAACCTTTTCGGTTCCGCGACGCCCCTAAACGGCTCAAGAGGCCTCCAAGATCGCCCCAAGAGGGCCCAAGAGGCCCTCAAAAGGGCCCCAAGACGGCCCAAGACGGCTCCAAGACGGCCCCAGAGGCCTCCAAGACGGCCCAAGAGGGCCCCAAGAACGCCCCCAACACGGTCCAAGAGAGGTCCGAGACGCCCGAAGATCGCTCCACGACGCCCAAGATGGCCTCCGGACGGCCCAAGACGTCTCCAAGATGGCCCAAGAAGCCTCCAAGATGCCCCAAGAGGCCTCCAAGAGAACTCCCAAGAGGGCCCCAAGAGGCAAAAAACTGTGTTTTTCCTTTGGTTTTGGACAGATTTGGGCGTTTTGACCTTTTCGGTTCCCCGACGCCCCTAAACGGCTCAAGAGGCCTCCAAGATCGCCCCAAGAGGGCCCAAGAGGCCCCCAAGAGCCCCCTAAGAGGCCCCAGGGGAGCCCAAGACGCCGCCAAGGAGCCCCAAAACGCTCTCAAGAAGCCCCCAAGAGGCCCCCAAGACGGCCCCAAGAGGCCCCAAATAGCGCTCCAGGGCCGGTGGAATGAGCGAAGCGATTAAATAAAAGGAATCCCCCTATTTGCCAATATTTTTTGGATGTTCGTCTTCCCCCCCACTTCCCATATTTTCCCATCTGTTCTGGGGGATCGACGATTAATTGTGTCTGTCTGTTTTTCTCCCTCCTGACAAGGGCCGTCACAGATCGATCCGCCTCGAAAAATGCGACAGAAAGAAAGAATCGCGATGTTCAGCGACGTCGCCTCTTTCCGTGAGGTCGGATCTCACGGTCTCCCCGGTCTCCGGGCCGCCTCGGGGGCCTCGGCGTCCCCTCTTTGGCTCCGCCTGTGGCCGTTGGGGGCCGCCAGGGCCTCGCCGGCATTCCTGGAGGCCCGCGATTCCTTCACAGCCCTGGCCGCCCAACTTCGAGCGCTGTGCCCCGCGAGGCGCGACTCGCGGCTGAACATCGTGCCCTCGCACCGCCGCCATGGAGAGGGGCACCTTCGCGGCCCAGGCCGCGATGTGCGAAGCGCTATCCGCGGGTGACCCAAACAAATGTGGAGGTCCCCACCCCTTCCCCGGGACTGGCCCTCCGCCCCGCGCTGCGTTGTTGGCGGTCCTGGGCCCCAGAGGCTGGCAGTGGCCAAAGACCTCCAGTCGTTGACATTTCCACTCGCGCGGGTCGGTCTGTGACTGGCCAGGGCCACGCCTGTCAGCACCCGAGATGTCGCCCATGGTGTACAGCCAGCTGTTGTCCTTCCGCCGCCAAGGCGGCGCCCCGCATGTCGCCGCCGCCGCACCGTCGCCGTCGCGGCCCGCCGCCGCCGTCGCCATCGCCGCCGTCGTCCGCCGCGCACCCCTGCTGCCGTCATTCGGTTCCGTTGCCGTCGCCGCTGACGATTGCCGCCGCCGCCGCCACCGCTGCCGCTGCCGCCGCCACCACTGGTGCTGCCGCCGCCAATGGTTGTCCTGCATCTCGCACTGGCACATGAGGCCGGCGGCGGCGTCCTGCCAGCTGGGATGGGAACTGTGAGGGAGGAGGGTTTTACTGGCCTCTCTGGCACAGCACAAGGTGATGCATCATGTTTTTTTTTTTTCTTTTTTTTTTTTTCTGAGAGAGTGGAATTGGACAATCACCGCCTCAAGCAACAACGGTTGTGGTACAAAACTTCGCCGCTGGGTTCAAACTTGGGAGGAACGCGCCCAACCAGTGGCTCAATGTGATGACAAAAGTGGCATGGTTCCAAAGTGGCTCCAACGGCGGCAATAAGCCAAACACTCCCACACACACACACTCCCACACACACACACACACACACACACACACACACACACACACACACACACTCACACGCACACTTTCTCCTCCAGCGCGCCGATGGGTTGCAACCAGCGGGTCAAATTCAACTAAGACGGGGCGCGTTCAACATTGATTAACCAGTTTGCCCAAGGATTCCGAAGAGGAGCGGGCATAGCCGACCGCGCATGCAGGACAGAAAGGCGTGACAACAGAAACCAGGATGCCAGGGCAGGGAGGGAGAAGGACGGAAGGAAGCAAACGACCACCGTCAAGTCGAAAAGACGCCGTAAAGGGGGGCCCGCAGGCTGTAAGTCACACACACACACACACTTTTACTCACCACACTCTCACACATACGCACACCAATTTCCCTCCTCTGGCGATGTGCAGCTCGACGTTTGCGGGAGAAACAGACGTGAATTCCAATCACACGTACGACGACTACGTTCAAGTCGTAGCTGTGAAGTCCTGGGTGGGGAGCAAGCGAACAGGCACGAAAACGGAGGCGCGGGTGACAAACGAGACGTGCAATCGAAGCCATGTGTGCCGACAGGTGGTAGACGCACGAAGGCAAGATGAAGTCCCCCACGGTCAGCGATGGCGCATGTCTCAAAAGGTGGAACGGCGAATCCCCACTTTAATACAATTACTCTTCCAACGGAAAAGGTGACGGCACCGTCGCGATGCGCTGAACCATGTAACGCTTGGGCGGATTCCTACCTGGTTTAGCAGATGGGTGAGCTGGATGGGGGGAGGCAGATGCAGAACAAAATATGCAGAAGCCGATGCACGCGGAAAAGGCCGCAACGCTCATGCAACGCAGAACACACTCACGCACACACACACATTCACACACACACACACACACACATTCACACACACACACGCACACACACACGCGCACACGCACACGCACACGCACACGCACACGCACACGCACACGCACACGCACACGCACACGCACACGCACACGCACACGCGCACGCGCACGCACACGCACACGCACACGCACACGCACACGCACACGCACACGCACACGCACACAAAACGCACGCACGCACGCACGCACGCACGCACGCACGCACGCACGCACGCAACGCACACACCACACACACACACACACACACACACACACACACACACACACACACACACACACACACACACACACACACACACACACACACACACACACACACACACACACACAACACACACACACACACACACACACACACACACACACACACACACACACACACACACACGCACGCACACGCACGCACGCACGCACGCACGCACGCACGCACGCACGCACGCACGCACGCACGCACGCACGCACGCACGCACGCACGCACGCACGCACGCACGCACGCACGCACGCACGCACATCCTGGGCCGCCATGAACCTGGGCGCAACTTCTACAGTGGAGGTCAGTTCACAAAAAATCTTCCACAAAAAACCCAACCCTGAAATCCCGGACGTCCGTTGGTTCTTGATGTGGGAACGCCGCACTCCCCACCGCAAAACCATCGAAACCCAAGAAACCCAGGGCACCCTGGAGGCAAGCAGGATGTTCCTTGTGAGCGTCTTTTTTATTCCCTACCTAGGCTCTGCCTAGAAGGGTTCTTACTCTCTTAGCTTAAAGGGGCCGGGCAGTGGAACACGCCCCGGGCGGTTCCCCCAGTCCCCTGGGAGCGGTTCCCCCCAGTCCACTGGGAGCTTTAGCTTTAGCTTTAGCTTAGCTTTAGCTTAGCTGCAGCTTAGCTTTAGCTTAGCGTTTCGCTTAGCTTTTCGCTTAGCGTTCCGCTTAGCTGTAGCTTAGCTTTAGCGTAGCTTTAGCTTAGCTTGAGCTTAGCTGTAGCTTAGCTTTAGCTTAGCTTTAGCTTAGCTTTAGCTTAGCTTTAGCTTGGCTGTAGCTTAGCTTTAGCTTAGCTGTTGCTCAGCTTTAGCTTAGCTTTAGCTTAGCTTTAGCTTACCTTTAGCTTAGCTTTAGCTTAACTTTAGCTTAGCTGTGGCTTAGCTTTAGCTTAGCTTTAGCTTAGCTTTAGCTTAGCGTTACTGTTACTACTAATGCTGCTTTCCTAGGGGTTCCAACTCCTAGGTAGGGTCGCACTGGGATAATTCGGCGTTTCGACATTGGGCGGAAAGGAGGGGGAGGAGGGGGGTCTGGCTCCGGACCTCTGCATCGTGCGACTGTTTGGCGTCCCGTGGGGGAGGGACTCCACCTGCTCGAAACAGGCGCCCAAAGGCAGCCACGATCCACTCCACGGGGCGGGGAGGGGGGGGGTGCGAGGGTCCGCGCCGATCGGCAAAACAAGGAATAACAAAACGATCGCAGCACGGGCCTGAGGGAGAGGAGGAGGAGGAGGAGGAGGAGGAGGAGGAGAAGGAGGAGGAGGAGGCGGAGGCGGAGGAGGAGGCGGAGGCGGAGGCGGAGGAGGAGGCGGAGGAGGAGGCGGAGGCGGAGGGGGAGGAGGAGGGGGAGGAGGAGGAGGAGGAGGAGGAGGAGGAGGAGGAGGAGGAGGAGGAGGAGGAATGCCGACTGGCATGGGCCTCCGCTGTCTGCCTGCCCCGGCTCCGTGCCTGTGCCTGGCCGCCACGGCTTCCGCCGCCGCTGCCCGTGCCGCAGCTGCGCCTCGGCGCCTCGCGCCCTCGGCCCGCCCGCGACGGGCGGCACGCTCTGCGCGGCTCTCGCCTCCTCGCATCCTCCCTCTCTCTCTGCCTCTCTCTCCCTCCTCGCTCCTCGCTCCTGGCTCCTCGCTCTCGCTTCCTCGCTTCCTCCCTCTCTTTCTCTCCCTTGTCGCTCGGAGGCGACGACAGGGGCGAATAGCCCAGGGGGGGGGAGCAATACGCGCATTCGCCCGGAAGCCTCGCCGACGGCACAGACCATCGCCGCCCCTGCATACATGTGTGGGTCGCCCCTGGGCTATTCGCCCCCATCGTCGACCCCGAATCTTCGCTGTGCCTCCATGAACTCCAGGCGTGTCCCGCCCGTGACCCGACCAGCGCCTGTACCGCTCTTGCACTCTTGCGCCCGCTGGTTCAACTTGGTGGGTCGCATCGAGGCCGTACCCCTACGCATGGCCTACGTGACAGCATCCAACATGCCGTGAACAACGACGTTATCAGCATCCCAACAGCACTGCCGTCGACGCCAGCGACAATGAGCAAAGAGGCGCTGGCAGTGCTCGCCCAGTCGCCCCTGGCCAAGCTGACGGACCCATCGCGCCAAGCATACACTTTCAATACAAGTTTATGCTTGGCGCTACTTCCGCACCACGGCCGTGGCCTGCTGGCGACACCCCCCCGCCACTCCACGAGCAGATGGTGCCCAAGCCCTGGCCCAGCCACGTCCTGTGCCGCCCCCCTGCGCGCCAGCGCCGCCCAGCTCAGCCCCAGCGCCGGCAAGCGGCTGGCGGCGCCCATGGCCGCCAACGGCCGCCCCGCCGGCAGGCAAGGCTCCGGCGCGCGAACGCGCGCGCTCGGGAAGGCCTGCATGGGCGAAAAGGTGGGGCAAGGGGGAAGGAAGTGCAGGAACGAGGCAGTGAATGGGGCAGGGGTCGGAGCGAGGCATGTAGGGGGGGATGGGCAGGGGAGGGAGGAGGAGGAGGAGGAGGAGGAGAGGAGGAGGAGGAGGAGGAGGAGGAAGGAGGAGGAGGAGGAGGAGGGGAGGAGGAGGGAGGGGAGGAGGAGGAGGAGGAAGAGGAGAGGAGGAGGGGAGGAGAGGAGGAGGAGGAGGGAAACTGTATTAGATCAGGTCAGCGGGGAAACCAAGAGGTAGCGATATCGCTACTCTCCGAACCTCTCCCAGGGTGCGTTCTGACAAACATTTCGAAGCGAATGCAGCCGTTGCGAGGCCCAAAAAGGCGAACACGAGGCCAGGGTAGCGGTCCCGTGGGACCAGGCCAGTGGAGGGGGGCACAGAGGAGGTCCCCACCCCAGGGCAAGAGCCGAAGCCAATGCACCACCGTAGGATTCCCAGTGCCTCTTCCTCCACGGCGCCGCGGCGGCGATCTCGGCACGGGCGCGCCCGAGTGCGCAGCTCCTGCGACTGCCTGCCTTCGATCCGTGCGGGGGGCAACGGGTGGGCTGCCGCTGGGCAGGCGTGGCACGCAGGAGAGGGCCAGGAGGGGGAGAAAAGTAGAAGAAGAGGACCAGGAGGTGGAGGTGGAGGAGGATGAGGAGGAGAAAAGAGAGACGAACAGGAGGGGAAGAGGAGGAGGCAGGGAGGAGGAGGGAGGGGAGGAGGAAGGAGGAGGGAGGAGGAGGAGGAGGAGGAGGAGGAGGAGGAGGAGGAGGAGGAGGCAGAGGAGGGAGGAGGAGAGGAGGAGGAGGAGGAGGAGAGGAGGAGGAGGAGGAGGGAGGAGGAGGGAGGGGGAGGCGGGAGGAGAGAGGAGGAGGAGGAAGGAGGAGGGAGGGAGAGGAGGATGAGGAGGAGGAAGGAGGGAGGAATGAGGGAGGAGGGGAGGAGGGGGAGGGAGGAGGAGGAAGGAGGAGGAGGAGAGGAGGAGGAGGCAGGATGAGGAGGAGGAGGAGGGGGGGGAGGAAGTAAAAAGGGCAAGGCCGAGGCCCGCGCGTGGTCCCCCGCGCGGTCCGGAGCGAGGAGCCAGGCCCCTCGGGCCCCCCAAGCGCGGGGCCGACTCCTGGACCTCGGACCTCCCAGATCGCACCGTCCTCGCACCCGCCCTGCTGCTGCTGCCCTCCGTCCGCGTCTCATCCTCCTCCTCCTCGCCCTCCTCCCTCTCCTCCTCCTCCTCGCCTGTCGGCCGCTCATCCAACTGCTCCTCCTCTGCCTTCCACCACCACCTCCTCCTCCTCCTCCTCCTCCTCCTCCTCCTCCTCCTCCTCCTCCTCCTCCCGCCTCCTCATCCAACTGCTCCTCCTCTGTCTTCCCTACCCTGGCAGGCGCTGCTCCTCGGACGCTACGACTTGCTCAACGCCATTGCCGCTTCCGTAGTTTCGGCCCCTGAAGGCTGGCGCCGAGCCCCAAGGACGCCATGAAACGTCACGCGCTGAGAAAGTCGAGTCGAGTCAATAGTCGCCCCGCTCGCACGAGGGCGGGCCCACACAGGGCGCGAGGGAAACGCAGCATGCCAGTCACTGCTCGGGCGGGGCGCGCACGGGAAGCACAGAGCCTGCGCACATGCAGAAGTCCAGGAGGTCCAGGAAGCGAAAAGACATCGCGCCCGGAAGGTCCACCGTCCCCGGCTCCCAACTGCCCTCCCCTCCCCAGCCCCCCCCCCTCCACTTCCCTCGTCCCCCCCCCCTCCTCCCCTCTCCCACGCCCCCCTCCACCCTCCCACCTCCGCCCCTCCCCTCCTCCCTCCCGTTCCCCCCCTCCGCCCTCCCCCCCATCCCTCCCCCTCCCATCCCTTCCCCTCCACTGCCCGCTCTCGAATCGCCTCCAGTTCCCCGCCCCTCCCTGGCCGCTCGCGGGGCCCGGGCTGGGAGCGGTCGGCGCTCCCCCCCGCCCCTCAGAGTGGGGGAAGCGGGTCCCGAGGGCAAGAGGTCTCGCCTTCCGGGGCCTTCCCCCGGGAGGAGGAGGAGGAGGAGGAGGAGGAGGAGGAGGAGGAGGAGGAGGAGGAGGAGGAGGAGGAGGCGGAGGAGGAGGAGGAGGAGGAGGAGGAGGAGGACGAAGTCCTCGACCCGAGCCGCTTTCTGACAGAACCCCGCGGCCCGCGGAGGGCCCCTCGAGCGCCCGCACACGGCGAGAGAAGCCTCTGTCGCCGCTCCCCTCGGGACCCCGTGCCCCCACGGCGAGCTGGCCGACGGCGGCGGCACTCGGCGCGGGAGGCGAAGCCCGAGGGAGGCGAAGCCCGAGGGAAGAGCGAAGCCCGAGTGAAGAGCGAAGCCCGAGGGAAGAGCGAAGCCCGAGGGAAGAGCGAAGCCCGAGGGCGGCGAAGCCCGAGGGCGGCGAAGCCCGAGGGCGGGGAAGCCCGAGGGAAGAGCGAAGCCCGAGGGCGGGGAAGCCCGAGGGAGGCGAACCCCGAGGGCGGGGAAGCCCGAGGGAAGAGCGAAGCCCGAGGGAGGCGAAGCCCGAGGGAAGCGGATCCTGAGGGGGGCGAACCCCGAGGGGGACGAAGGCGCCTCGGGGTTCGCTTCCCTGCGTCAAGCGCCGCCGTCGTCGGCCCCGTCCGCCGCAGCAGCGCCAGCGCGGGAGGCGGGAAGCGGGGGCGCGAGGCGGGAGGAGGGAGAGCCACAGCACGAGCGGCGGCGACGGCAGCGGCAGCGCGTCTTCTTGGGGCGGTCCTGGGGGGCTCTTTGGGCCGTCTTGGAGCGTCGGGAGCTCGGAAAGTCGAGAAGGCCAACGTCATTGAACCCCCTTGTGGAACTCAGTGAGTGTTGCCTCTCGGGGCCCTCTTGGGACGGCTCTTGGGGCGCTCTTGGGGCGTCTCGGAGGCCTCTCGGGCCGGCTTGGGGCCATCTTGGCAGCTGGAGAGGCGGAAAAAACCCACACCGACTAACGAAGTCATCGCAGTAAACATCATAACATTCGTTCGTGTCCCGCCATTTTCGGCCTCCTGGGATGCCACCGCTGGGTTCGCCTCGAAATTCTCGTCAGAACGCACCCTTGGAGAGGTCCCGGGAGTGACGGTATCGGTACCTTTTTGGTCACCCCAGAACATGCATCAAACCACAAGCGAACCAGTTGACCCTGGTCCGAGAGATCAGCCCCCTCGCGCTGTCCTGTCAGGGACCCGCTGCCCAAGCTCCTCAGCTTGGGCGCGGGAGGAGAAGCCCAAAAGCGCAAGGCCTCGGACGAGGTCTAGAGAGGCGGAGGAAGAGGAAGAGGAAGAGGAGAGGGAGCAGGAGGATGAGACGGAGCTGACAGGCACGGAGCAGGAAGAGAAGCAGCACGGGCAGGTGACCTGATACCGACCACGGCTGAAAACGAGGACGGGGTGACAGGGGCCAGCGCGTGAGCTGCAGCAGTGGCAGCTGCGAGGAGGAGCAGGATCAGCGACAACAACAGACAAGTTCAGGAAGGGGTGGTGGTGGTGGTGGTGGTGGTGGAACAATCGCGGTGCGATACGAAAAGGGAACTACGAGCGCTTACGAGCGAGCATCTCGGCCGACAAGCGCAGGAAGGGGCGCCGGCGAGGGAGGAGGGAGGAGGCAGGAGGGAGGGAGGAGGGAGGAGGGAGGGAGGGAGGGAGGGAGGGAGGGAGGGAGGGAGGGAGGGAGGAGGAGGAGGAGGAAGAGGAGGAAGAGGAGGAGGAGGAGGAGGAGGAGGAGGAGGAGGCGGGAGCAGAGGCGGGAGCGGTCGGCCGCGGAGGGGTCCTACCAGAGGTCCCCGTGAGGAAACAATCTCGAGGTCGCTGTCGGAGTCGGAGTCGGGCCCGAACGAGTTCCCGCGCGACGCCTCGATCACGGAGGAGCTGCTTGCAGCATCCTGCGCACCAGCCAGGGCAAGAAGGTGCTCATCGCACTGGCACAAGTTGGAGCATGCAGGCGGAGAGCATCGAACCAGCATCGCGTGAGATGGGAGACGGACACTTGTGAGCAAGCATGATGACCTGGAGGATCGGGTGTTGCCAGAAGTGCCCCTGGCCTAAGGTGCCCCCAGAATTCCCCACACGGCCTCCAGAGCACCCCTCACAAGGCCCAGGGGGCCTCAGGGGCTCCAACATGGAGCGAGAAGCTGGGCACCTTGGGCCGGGGGCACCTTCAGCAATCCCCGAAAGGAGTCCGAAGGTCGTCACTCCCTCCGTCCTTCCCTGCATTTGCCCCTCCCTGCATCTCCCTCCTCTCCTTCCCTGTCCCCCACCTCTCCCTCGCCCTCGGTCTCTCCCTCCTTCCCTCCCTGCATCTGCCCCTCCCTGCATCTCCCTCCTCTCCCTCCCTCGCCCCCACATCTCCCCTTGCCCTCGGTCTCTCCCTCCTTCTCTCTCTCTCTCACTCTCTCTGCATTTGCCCCTCCCTGCATCTCCCTCCTCTCCCTTCCCTTTCCCCCGCCCTCTCCTCGCCATCCATCGCTCCCGCCCGTTACCCCCTCTTCTTCGCAGCGCGCGCAGCCCGCACGACCGACCTGCGAGGACTCGCTTCCCAGCCGGCGCAGACCCCCCGAGGGGTGCTCCACATTGCGTTGCAAGAGTCGGGGGCGCGCAAACATGGATTAGCGATCCATGGATTTGGCGCGCGGTCGCCTAATGCATGGATCGGGGGAGGTGCCCTCTCCCAAATGCGGCTGGTGCCGCCTCGCTCGGCGGCGGAAATTCGCGATTTCCCATGGAAACGGGACCCATCGCTAATCCACGCCCCGTTGATCCATGTTTGCGATCGCCCGAAAGAGGGAGGGGGTCACAACCCTCCCAGACGAGCAGTGTCAGACCCCCCCCACAGACCGGCCAGGAAAGGGCGGCCGTTTGCCCCGACCCCCCTCCAAGGCAGCTCAGGTCAAACCCCCCCGAATCAGACTACCAGCATTTTTTAACTGTGAAGCCCGGAGAGCACGCAAGTCCCACAGGCCCGCACTTCCTCGTCCGCGGCAGCACCTGGCAGCGGCGGCTCCGCCAGAGCCTCTGCGGAGAGAGCATCAAGGAAGACACCGAAAGGTCCAAATCTCTTCCCCAAGACGCTCCTCCCAATCATCAATTCATGCTCCTCCTCGCTCTCCTCCACCTGGCCACCATCCTTCCGTATAAGCGTCCAAATTGCCTTCACTAGTCTTCAAATTACTGGCATCGGTCTTCGTCATCTCAACCTACACTTGCCTTCGCTGGGATTGCCATCCTTCACGCCTTCAGGCCGACGCTCCTCATCGCAACAATCACACCTGCAACCTTGAGCGAATGCCGATTGCTGTCATTCTCCTTCAAGCTCATCGCGTCCTTCGGTAATGGAGCGCGCAGTATCCGCCACCGTGCCTGCACAGTGGTGGAGTACTAATCGCTTGGTAGCTGAAGCTCCAGAACCCCACAAGAGGACCAACACACAGCTCCAAGAGGGTTTACACTGATGTCCTGGGACGGCCCGAGAATCACCCGAGACTGCACAAAAGGATCCGAGATAGCCCCAAGACCCGTCAGTTCATACAGGGGGTTGAATTGGACCCCTCCTGCGTCGTGCTGCATCCCTCGTCTTCCTACCTCCTCCTCCTCCTCCTCCTCCTCCTCCTCCTCCTCCTCCTCCTCCTCCTCCTCCTCCTCCTCATCCATCCTCATCGTATTCCTGCATCCTCCCCCTCTGCGTCTCCGACTCCTCCTCCTCCTCCTCCTCCTCCTTCTCCTCCTCCTCCTCCTTCTCCTCCTCCTCTGCCTCCCTCTCCATCAGTAGGAAGAAAGCTGCCAAAACCACGGAGCAGAGAGATTGACCATGCAAATCCCTGGAAGAAGAGGAGGAGGAGGCGAATGGGGGGAGGAGGTCCCATCACCATGCCATCCCCTCCTCCGCCCACATCTGCCACCCTCGCCACTCCCTCCCGACTCCTTCCCCTTCCGAGCCCCCGATCCCTTCTCTCCCCTCCCCTCCCCTTGCCCTTTGATTCCCCAACTTTCGGCTTGCCTAATGGGGCTCTTACTTGGATGAGAATGCCTCGGGGGGGGGGCACGTCGCCCGCTCCCCGGAGATTCCCTGGGTTCCCTGGGTTCCTCGGGTTCCTCGGGTTCCCCCGGTTCCCCGGGTTCCTCGGGTTCGTCGGGTCCCTCAAATTCCCCAGGTTCCTCGGGCTCCTCGGGTTCCCGGGTTCCTCGGTTTCCTCAGGATCCCTGGGTTGCTCGGGTTCCCTGGAATCCTCTCGGGTTCCCCGGGTTCCTCGGGTTCCCCGGGTCCCCCAGTTCCGCGAGCAATGTCAAGCAATGCAAAGCAACGCCAAGCAACGCCAAGCAATGCCAAGCAATGCTAAACAATGCCAGACAGTGCCAAGCAATGCCAAGCAACGCCAAGAAACTATAAGCAGTGCCAAACAATTCCAAGCAACCCCAAGCAATGCCAAACAATGCCAAGCAACGCCACGCAGCCCCAAGCAATGCCAAGCAATGCCACGCAATGCCACGCAATGCGAAGCAATGCCAAGCAATGCCAAGAAATGCCAAGCAATGCCAAGCAATGCCAAGCAATGCCAAGCAATGCAAACGCAATGTCAAGCAATGCCAAGCACTGCGCCCATGCAGTAAGAAACTTTCCCCTAATCGGGGTTGCGCCGGGTTCATTCAATTTCCGTTTCCGTTCCCTTCTCCTTCCCCTTCCCTGCCTTTCCCCCTCCACCCTCCCCTCCCCCTCCCCTTCCAGCTCACTCTCCAACCCCTTCCCCGCCTTCCTCTCCTCTCTCCCCCGCCCCCTCCCGTCCCTCCCCCTCGCTCTCTCCCATCCTCCTCTCTCCTCCCCCTCCTCCTCCCTCTCAGCCATTTAGCTTTCGAGCGCCCCCCCCCCCCCTCCTGCAGGGGGCGCGCACGGGGTTTCGAGCACCAGCTTCGGAATGGCCTCGCGCTCGAGAGACATGGGGAGTCGTCGCGCCCAGCATCATCAGCTACAATGCTGCCGTCTACTGGGCGAGCAGCGGCGCCAGTCACGTTGGCGCTGGCGTGCAAGTACAGGAACAGTTCGCGCGACCATTTCGCGCGAGTGCGGCGAGAACGGGCGAGCCAACGTCATCGGCTACAGACCTGAGCCCAGCTCGCACGGGAGACGCCTCAATGCGAGACGGGCTGCAGGAGCAAACATCACCAGCTACACGGCTGGGATTGGCTGATGCGACAAGGCAGGCAGGCGAGAGCCAACAATCAGCTGCAACGCTGGGATCGGCTCATGCACGATGGCTTGCAATGGTGCTGGCGCATTGTGGGCGCCGCTCCCAGCCGTCCTCCGCTACAGTGCTGGATCGGGCGCTGGCCAGGAGGGCGGGCAGTGGCAGCACTTGCCACTGAAAGAGAGGCGAACGCGGGAGCGGACACCCTGCTACAACGCCGGGGAGCAGCTCGTGCGAGAAAGTGGAAGCGGAAGGTTCTCAGCTACAATGCGGGAATCAGTTCTTCCGAAAGTGCGCGCAGCGGAAGCATGTGGCGCTGTGGGAAAAGTGTGGGCGCGGACGCCCAGCCACAACACAACGCTGCGATCAGCTCGTGCAAGAAGGCAGCCAAACAAGAACTATCAATCAACTACAACGCTGGGGTCGGCTCAAACACAAAAGCAAACTATGGCGGTAGCGTATAATGGGCACCGCTCCCAGACTTCATCCGCTACAGGTCCGATGTGGGCGCTGGCGAGAAGGCGGGAAGCGGTACGTAACATCTGGCACTGAGAAAAAGACAGACGTGGGAGCGGACACCCTGCTACAACGCGGGGAGCAGCTCGTGCAAGAAGGAGGACGCCAGTGAGGGTCCTCAACTACAATGCGGGGCTGAGGTCTTGCAAAGAGGCGTAGAGTGGCAGCACTTGGCACTATGCGGAAATTGTGGGCGCAGACAACCAGCCACAGTGCGGGGAACAGCTCTTGCGAAGAAGCGGACGCACGGGAGGGTCATCAGCTACACGGCAGGGGCCAGCTCGTGCAAAAATAGCGAAAGCGGAGGCAAGGACTGACCATCAGCCACATTGCAGGGGGCAGTGGCAGTGCAGACACTGGCGTGCAGTGGCAGAAACTGGCACTGCCAGAAGGACGCAGCAGAAGGTCATCGGCTCCAACGCTGGGTCCGGGTCTTGTGAGAAGGAGCGCAGTGGCAGCACCTGGCACTGTGAGAAGGTGACCGCGGGAGCAGCACACCAGCCAGTGCGGAGATCAGCTCGGGCGAGAAGGCGGACGCAGGGGAGGGCCATCAGCCAGAATGCATGGATCAGCCCTTACGGGAAGGCGTGTGGTGGCAGCGGAGGCGAAGCAACATCGGCTACAGGGCTGGGATTCGCTCGTGCGCGGAATGGCCGAAGGAGCGGAGGCTTGCAAGACAGGCCAAGAGGACAGCAGGGGGCCCGCGCCGTCAGCTATGATGCGAGAAGGGCAGAGCTCTCGTCGACACCAACTCGTCGTCGCCATCATTCGAGCTTCGAATCTCTGAAGGCTTGGCCCTTAGAATCCTGTAGAATCCTCCACTTCCTCCTCCTCCTCCTCCTCCTCCTCCACTTCCTCCTCCTCCTCCTCCTCCACTTCCTCCTCCTCCTCCTCCTCCTCCTCCTCCTCCTCCTCCTCCTCCTCCTCCCGTGCTTGTACAACTTGGGCCCCGCGAGAGCGGCGCGACCCTCCGGGTCGCCTCGTCCCTGCCGCCCGCACTCGCGCTGGCTGGGCAGCACGGCCCGGTGCCAGCCACGGCGCCCGCCGCGCCGCAGCGGGTGGCCGCCTGGGGCGGCAGCGGCGGCGGTCGGCAGCAGCCGCGGCGGCGGCGCGGCAGCGGCGGCGGCGGTGGAAGCGGCGGCGGCAGCCAGTGCTGGCCAGGAGGAGGGAGGAGGAGGAGGAGGAGGAGGAGGAGGAGGAGGAGGGAGGAGGAGGAGGAGGAGGAGAGGAGGAGGAGGAGGAGGAGGAGGAGGTGCCTGGGTCCCTTGGACAAGGAATGGAGCGTCGGCCAGACGGTGGAGGACCAGCTGCGGCGTGGCCACGGGCATCCTCGCCGCCCTCATCAGATAAGAAAAGCCTTCCAGGGTCTGAGGCATCCAGGGCCTACTCCTTTCCTCCTCCTCCTCATCCTCCTCCTCCTCCTCCTCCTCTCCTCCTCCTCCTCCTCCTCCTCCTCCTCCCCCTCCCCCTGCCCTGCTCCTCCTCCTCCTCCTCCTCCTCCTCCTCCTCCTCCTCCTCCTCCTCCTCCTCCTCCTCCTCCTTCACGAGCGCCCGCACCGGAAGTTCCTCCGAGGTTGCAGCAGGGCGAGGACCACCAGCCTGCAGCACCAGCAGCGGCAGCGCGGGCCGCCCCCGGGCCGTCAGAGAGCCAGACAGCCACACCAGCACGGACTCCTCGGCCGCTCGCGGGCGACTTCTCGGCCCTGGAGGCCTGGGGATTCCGAGGGATCCTGGGGATCCCGAGGGATGCTCAAGGATTCCTGGGGATTCCCCACGCTCCACTCCTGCACCAGCCGAGAGGTGCCCAGCGGCGAAGAGAAGAGAGTGCGGGCGAGTGGAGGCCTCCCCACTTGTGGATCGTAGTTTGTTATTTCGGGGTGATTGTGACGATGATGACTGGTCTCGCCGACTCATGGATGCGTCAGACCTGCAAATGTTTCGCTGGGGCTCAAATGCATGTCTTCTAGCTTCTGGGCGAAGTCTGAGGGGCAGCAGTAGGGGGGGGGCGGCTCATGCGGGTGCATGTCCGAAACGATTTTCAGGAGGACAATGAGCCAAAGCACGGCGGATCCAGAATGAGGTGGGCACCAACGTGAAGGATTGGGGGGGGGACGTAAAGTTCGTTTGGCTTTCGAACGTTCTCGTTCGTCCTCGGCGGCCTTCCACGCTCGGGATGCCTCTCGGCGGCTGCGCCTCGCCGACAGCGGTCTGGCTTGTGACCCGGATCGTCCCGAACGGCAGCCGGAGGCCCGAGCTGTGACCTGAAAGCGTTTTCAGGGGGGCGAGGCGGGCGAGGCGGGGGGGGGGGAAAGTGACCGAGGGGAGAGATGAGTAACGGAGGAGAAGGACGGTAAGGAGGAAAGGGCCGAACCAGACTCCGCCAAGAAAAATATGTGCGGAACGCGCGTAGTGCACAAATGCTGTCCCCCGAACGGCAGGCAGAGCGCGCGGGCAGAGCGCGCGGGCCCGCAAGACTCGGCCCGAACGAAAGGGGGGGGGATAGGGAAAGGAGGGGGAGGAGGAGGAGGAGGAGGAGGAGGAGGAGGAGGAGGAAGGAGGAGGAGGAGGAGGAGGAGGAGGAGGAGGAGGAGGAGGAGGAGGAGGAGGAGGAGGAGGAGGAGGAGGAGGAGGAGGGAGGAGGAGGAGGAGGAGGAGGAGGAGGGGGCCAGCTCAGGCGGGGGAACGTCGACCCGGAATCGGGCCACACCGCCGATGCATCGGCCGTGTGCCCACGCTGGCGAGGCCGCACGTGCTCGGGCGGGGTACAGGCGATGGGGCCCCTATCGTTAGGTCGGGCCTGTCCCCCTACAGGGGGATTTTTGGACGAGAAATATCAAAAGATGCCCACAAATATTCAAAAAATAATTCCCAGACTATCTTTTTGCCTATTTTTGAATATCCCCCCTGTTGAGGGGCAAGCCCGACTTAACCCTATCAATGGGCAATCGGGGGTCGATGCGTTCCCCCCTGAGCAGCGTGGCGAGGCGTCGCCATCGCCGCCGCTCGCCGCGGCTTCGCCATCGCAGCCGGTCTGCACGTGCTCGGCTTTCCCGGCGCCGTGTCATCCGCGCTCCGTCTGGACGTGGGGGCGAAGGGTCCCGAGGGAAGCGGGTCCTCGCCCCCGGGGCGCCTTCCCCGAGGGCGAGGGCTTCCTCCCGAGTCGCCCTCTGACGGTCCTGGGGCCCGGGCAGGGCCCCGAGAGCCCGCAGACGGCGAGAGACCTCAGGACACGCTTCCCCCATGGTCCGTTTCCCCACGGCGATCTCTCCCACCCTGACGTTGCCTCTTGTGGGACGCACAGAGACATACTAATACTATATGTCCTCCTTGGAGGCGCGCGTCCGACCCAAGCATATAGTATACCCATCTTGTAGTATATCGTTTCCCGAGCGGTGTGGCCAGAAAGCGCACGCCGCGACGCATATACTATAAGATTTCTCGGTGCGCGCGTCGCCCCTGGGGGGGCGACGCACATACAGTATAAGTATGTTGGGGTGATGCCGATCTTGAGTGGCAGCCAGGGGGCCACGGCCGGGTCGGACCGAGCGTGCCGCCTGCCGTGGGGCGGCTCCGGCGCAGGCGTGGCACCGTCGGATGTGGGCAGGCCGTGCGGCCACCGTCGACCACGAGCACCGCGGCCACGAGCCGAGAGCGACGACAAGGCATCTTTCTTTCGCCTCGCGAGCGGACAATTGAAAGGGCCCAGGGACACACGAGCAAATAGACACAACCCCCAGGATTCCCGATCTTTTACATCTTTTCCGGATGTCCGTCTTCCCCGCCGCTTCCCACATGTTCCACATTTTCCAGGGAGTAGGCGACTATGTGTGTCTGTGTGCTTTTCCCTCCTGAACAATGGCATACGCCTCTGGCGATTTATCTAGTTAACGACCCAAGGCATTTGCCGGTCACTGCTTCCAATACCTTCGCCTAGGCCTCGAATGGTGAACGTACAGCTGCAGCATAGCTCTCAATGTTCACGCCATGCAGCATCATCGCTGCCGTCTGGGATCGGTTAGGATACGACTGCCGACACATTCTGACGGGACCTTTGTTCACGGGTTGATGAGGCGTCTGGGTGCTCATTGGAAGGTCTTGGACGTATGAGGTAGTCTAGTCGGCGTCTGCAGCTGCACTTCAGCGGTGGTCGGCGCTTCCCTCACAGTCCTCACTCACACTTGGCCGCATGCTAAGATTGTGCTGCATGCGGAGAGGCCTTCGAGGGCTGAGAGGCAAGCAACAACATGCTGCGAGCGGCCCATGCGCACCTCGACCTCCTCCGAGCGGCACTCCAAAGAGCAAAGGACAACCCGGGTCAGCGGGGCCTTGCAGGATCCCGCAAAATCCTGCAGGATCCTGCGCCCCAAACCCGGGTCAATGCGACCCTGGCCCTGCATGATCCTGCAAGATCTGGCGCTCTGGCTGACCCCCCTTTGCATCGACCCCCCGTCTCAAGGCTCCCGAGGACATGGGCTATGTTGCTCTCATCGTACTTCAGGACCACATCCCAGAACTAGTCTCGAGCACCCAGAAAAGTGTCGAAAGCGTGTCGAAAGAGTGTCGCAACAGTGTCTCCCTGGGCCCGACACGTGAAAACCTTTCCATTTCGGCACTTTCCTGGGGCTCGAAATTCTTTCTGAAGATCAAGGCCAGAAGTAGGTTGGAACATCATAAGACATGGGAAGCCATGCCTGCCGGCTTCTTCTCTCGCAGCAAGCGAAGCACGGCTGGCCCACGGCACGCCCAGCCCGCGGCGCCCGCTGCCGGAGGCCCTCTGGGAGCGGACCGGCGCCCCGCACACGCTCCCCCAGTAGAGCACCTCGCACCCCGGCGACCTACGCGCGTTCTCCGTGTCGCGGGGTGTTGGCTGGAGCTCTGGTCGACTCGGCTGGATGAGCCCGCTGAGGGTGCGCGACGTGGTGTGAACAGACGCTCTCCCAGTAGAGCACCTCGCCCCAGGCGACCTCCACGCGTTCTCCATTCGGCTATACGCAAGAGTGACCCTGGGTAAGAGTGACCTTTGGTGCGCGACCTTTTGGGTGCCGCGGGGGGTCCAAACCTGGGCGCGCAAGCAGCTGCTGCTGCTGCTGCTGCTGCTGCTGCTGCTGCTGCTGCTGCTGCTGCTGCTGCTGCTGCTGCTGCTGCTGCTGCTGCTGCTGCTGCTGCTTCGTTTTCAGCCATCTGGGGACCCATCTGTGCCCGCACCAAAGTTCACTCCTGCGAAAGGTCACTCTTACGTCTAGTCGATCCATGTGGCGAGGTGTTGGCTGGAGCTCCGGTCGACTCGGCTGGATGAGCCCGCTGAGGGTGCGCGACGTGGTGTGAACAGACGCTGCACGCGACGGACGATCTCCACCCAGGCTCGCCACTCGTCGGGCATCTGCGTCGCTGGCTCAGGCCCTGACCCGCCTGCGGCACGTCCAGCCTGCCGCGCGCGCACGTCTTCTGCACCAGGCCAGCGACGCACCTCGCATGGCCTGCGTGCGATCACCCGGGGACATCCGGAGGGCCTCTGCGGCCACCCCCGCGCTGACCGACCCAGAGACCGTCCTTCAGGATGTTGCTGGTGAGCTTCAGGCTGCGCCCCTCTGAGTCGGTACGAGCCATCTTCGAGAAATCGGCGGCGGTCACCGGCTCGTACACGGCGCCTCCACCTGGCAGGCTCCGGAAACCCTTGACCCAAGCATGTTGATTAGGAAGGGCCAAACGGACCCCCCTGTCGACGTACCCCCAACGAGGTGTCGCAGCGGCCACGGTTCCAGCAGCGGTGAGCGCGCCAAGGCGCAGCATTGGGGCGCACCGAGGTGGGCCCTGAGGCCCCCTCGCCAGGGCACGTCTTTTCTGGGGTACAGTGGAGGCCCGACCACAAGAAACCTTCACAAGAAACCCGACCCTGAGACCCCAGGACGTCCATTGATGTTCGGTGTGGGAACGTCACGCCTTCCCATCGCAAAACCATCGAAGCCCAAGAAACCCAGGGGCACCCTGGAGGCAGGCAGGGTGCTTCTTGGCATCCTCCTAAAGGAAACAGAACTATGCACATACACCGATTCTGGCCAGGCCCATCCTGAGCCCAGGATCGGTGCATACGCCCTCCTACCTTGGCCAGGAAGGCCTATGCACCGATCCTGGGTCAAGGATGGGCCTTGCCAGGATCGGTGCATGTGCATAGTTCTCTTCGCCCGATCGATGGCCCCCGCCGAGCAGAGAAGTGCACCCGCCCGTGCCGTGCCAAGCCTGCAGAGGGGCAGCCGCCCGGGCCCCCGGGCCGCGACGCGCGCGAGACGCGCGCGAGGGGGGGAGGGCCCGGGGATCCGACGTGGCGAAAAACTGGCGACACCCAGAACACCTGATCGGGCAAGAACGGGAAGCGCCCGGCCTCCACTGCACGTTTGGCCTCCCCCGTGAGCCGACGGCTCACTTTTCTACGTCCGCCGCCTCCCGCCGAGCTTCCGCTGGCGGACCCGCCGCCGCGCTGCCTCCGCCGAGGGCAGAGGCGCCCTTTCCTCGGCCCCTCGAGGGCGAGGCCCCCTCCTCCTCCTCCTCCCTCCTCCTCCTCCCCCTCCTCCTCTCTCCTCCTCCTCCTCCTCCTCCTCCTCCTCCTCCTCCTCCTCCTCCTCCTCCTCCTCCTCCTCCCTCCCTCTCCCCCTCCCCCTCCCCCTCCTCCTACCCCTCCCCTCCTCCTCCTCCTCCTCCTCCTCTCCTCCGCCTCCTCCTCCTCCTTCTCCTCCTCCTCTCTCCTCCTCCTCCTCCTCCTCCTCCTCCTCCTCCTCCTCCTCCTCCTCCTCCTCATCATCATCATCATCATCATCATCATCATCATCATCATCATCATCATCATCATCATCATCATCATCATCGAACGCCCCACCCAGGATCAGTCCGCATCGAATCGGCAGGTCGCATCGGGCCGACATCATCAATGCCTCGGATCGGGCTGCATCGGCGCGGCATCTACACCGAATCGGATCGGCTGCGCCGGGTTGCACAACAGCGCCATGCAAACACGGGGTCGCATCGTATCGTCGGAGTGGCATCGGAATCGAATCGGATCGGGACGGCCAGAACCGACATCGAATCGGATCGAGCGGAGCGAAGTGGACCCCGCCCACCTGGCGGCGACAGCGCCGTGTCGGGAGGCGGCTGGAAGAAATACGCCAGCGTGAGCCGCGCCGGGTACGCCGAGCTGCCCTCCGCCCCCGGGCGCAGCACAACGCGGTGCGGCGTGGCAAGCAGCCGGTCGTCCGTCCACCGCTGCAACATCTGCCCCAGCTGGACCGTGATCCCGCCCGGCACCTCTGGGACGTCTGCCCACCTACGGGGGGAAGCAGAGGTGGGGTATCCGCCAGCCTCTCCCTTCGTTGCGATCATCTCTCTCTTTCTCTCTCTGTCCCGCTTCGCCTTGATCTTGCTGCCCTGCTGGTGGCGACGAGCGTCGGCGAACTCATCGTGTGGAGCAGGGAGGTATTCTGATTGCTTTTTGGGTGTTGTTGCTCATTCGCTATGCCCTGAGATCCGACGTTGCGAACAGCATGCAACATCGTGAAAAATCACGACTGGAGCCCCGGACCCCATCATGCTGAGTTATTTTTTGAGCCGCACCGATCTGGCTGGCCATCGAAAAACTGGTTCAGGGATGGTCCGATGAGACAAGGAGGCAAGGGTACCCTTGGGAAGGCTACCCATCCCTATCATCGCTTTCGACCCCAAACATGCGACGTCCTGATTTTTTTAATGTAGGGCGTCCCCGGAAGTCCCGAGCCTTTCCCGTGGACGGGTTTTTCATCCTGAGTCGTTTTTTGACGGCCCCGGGGCCCGGCGAGGGCCCCCGGGGGCCGAAAAGAGCGACAAACTGCCCGTTCTGATTTCTGCTCGTCGCGAGCATGTCCATGGGCCCCTATCGCCGACTCCGGCTGCAGGACGCATGTGGCCCAGGTGCACCGCGCGGGGCAGCCTCGGCGCCTCGTGTTTGGACGCCCGAAACGGGTACGGAAACAAGGGGCACAATGCCCAACAGCAAGTGCTGTCCCAGACCAACAGCGGCCGCTGTTGGGCGGGCGGCCTTCAGCCTCAAATGCACACGGGCCGCGGCGACACCGACAGCAAGTCCTGTCCAAGATGGACAGGAACCGCTGTTGGGCATTGTACCCATTCTTTCCGTACCCACGTCGGTCGTCCCGAACCGAAGACGCTGCTCACAACTGCGTGACTCACAACCACCTACGCTTGGGCACTCCGCCCAGTGTGGGCAGCCCGCGCGGTCCGGCGCCGCCCCCCGGCGCGCTCCGCGCGCCAGGGGAGTCCGGCAAAGGTTCAGGAAAACCCGCGCGGAGCTCAGACAAATTATGGTCATGCCGATGTCTTTCCGTACCCATTCGTTCGTGCCGATCGCGGAGGCCCCCGCGGGGCCTGCCGGCCGGGGGGGCCTCTTGGGGGGGCTCCGGGCTGGGTGCCTGCCCGCGGTGTGCGCGGCCCTGGGCCTCGCCAGGCCACGCCCTGGCGGCGCGCACAAGGGGGCACAGTCGTCCCTGTAGAATGAAGTCGGGCCTGCCCCTTCTACAGGGGGAGAATTCAAAAATAGTCAAAACATAGTCTGGGGACTATTTTGGGGTTGTTTTGGGCATCTTTTTGAACATTTCTCATTTTTCGTCCAAGATCCCCCTGTAGGGGGACAGGCCCGACCAAACTATCGAGGGACGCGCCCGACTGAAGCCAAGATGCTCCTCGATGCTCCCCGCCGAGCAGAGAAGTGCACCCGCCCGCGCCGTGCCCAGCCTGCAGAGGGGCAGCCGCCCGGGCCCCCCGGCCGCGAAACGCGCGCGCGACGCGCGCGAGGGGGGGAGGGCCCTGAGATCCGACGAGGCGAAAAAAATGGCAACATCCAGAAAACCTGACCAGGCAAGAACGGGAAGCGCACGCATGTGGGAAACGCAAGTCCTTTGGGACGGTCTTGGGCTATCTTGAGGCCGCTGGAGGCCGTTTCCCGACATCCGCCGGCGCAGTTTCAAAGTGCAGCGCGTACCCGATTATCAATTCTTGCCACCAACAAACGGTCCACGCCAGGGGCGCTTCCCGTCATCCGCGCCCGGAGCCCTGGGGGCCCATCTTTCTGCGGCATTTCTCGACCGGGTCGATCTGCGAGGGTCCCAAGACCCGAGAGCAGGCGGAAGCGCCTGGCTCGAACATCGAAAGCATCGGATCGCCAGGATCTCGGGGGGGGGGGAGGGCTTTCTCGGGAGGCGGCTTTTCAGCGGGCGCGGGCCTTTTGTCTGTGGATGCAGGGCCGGCGCCTTCTCTAAGAAGCAGCCTCCTTCTCAGAAAGCCTTCCCCCTCCCTACCCCCTTGCGCGCGCCGCCGAACATCGCCCCAAAGAGCCCCTGGAAGAAGGACAAGTGGGCGTCTGGCTGGGCCCGTTCCCTACCCCACCTTGGGAGAACCACCCCCCTGGAGGGGCGGGCAAAAGGGCGCTGATGCCGCTACTCCCTGGACCACTCCTGGGGAGTGCGTGCTGACCAGAATTCCGAGGAGAATCCTTACGTGGCGTCGAGGGCCTCCCAGGAGCCCCAAAGAGACAAAAGCGAAGGAAGGGTAGCGCTATCGGTACCTTTCCCCCCTCGGTCCCGAGGCCCGGGGAGGGCCAAGATGCCGAGAATTGCCAAAAAACATCCGTCGTGATTTTCCCGATGCGAGGATGTTAGGATCTGCGGATCCCCCGACACCTGTCGTCCTCGACAGAGGCCCCACGCACGAGCACCTGCAGCCCCGCCACGTTCTCGTGGGCCAGCAGCGTGAGCACGCTGTCCCCGTCCGCGTGCGGGTAGGCCCGCATGGCCGCGCCGAGCTCTTGCGCGCCAGCGTGCCCGTCGGCTGCGGGCACGTCCGCGCGCGCGACGGCAGGGTAGTGCAGGGCCACGACGGCCGGAGAAGGAAGAGATGCCGAAGCCGCTGCTCGTTCCGAAGCCGAGCTCGTTCCGGACGCCCCCCGGACTTCCTGTCAGAGCGCGGCCCAGGGAGTGGCGGCATCGGCATGTCTTGGTTCTCCCGGGCGGGAGCCGGCTGCACGCAAGAGCGACCCCTGGGCAAGAGCGAGACCTTTTTTGTGCGCGGCCTGCCGATCGCTGCGTGCGGTGCGACGGGTGGTGGCCACGCAAGAGCGAGACCTCTTCGTGCGCGGCCTGCCGATCGCTGCGCGCGGTGCGGCGGGTGGTGGCCCGCGTGCACGGGCTCCGCCCCCTGTGGCGTGGGGGCAGGCGGGCCCCGAGGGGAAGGGGTCCTGGGCCCCGAGGCCCTCCCCCCCCCAGGAGCGGCCCCTCCTCCCGCGCCGTCTCCCGGCAGCCCGGGGCCCGCGGGGGGCCCCGAGGGCCCGGCAGCGGCGACAAAACCTCGGCACCCGCTTCCTGCAGGACCCGCTCCCAGGCATGCGACGTCCTGATTTTTTCAGGGCGGCGTCCCCGGAAGTCCAGACCCGTTCCCCGGGACCGGTTTTTCATCCTGAGTCGTTTTTTGACGGTCCCGGGGCCCGGCGAGGGCCTCCAGGGGTCGAACATAGCGAAAACCTTCCCGCCCTGATTTTTGTTACAACTCCATCATGTCTGGGCTCCCCCCCCACCCTGGCGCCCCCCTCCCCCCTCCCCACGCGTCCCTCGCGCGCCGCGCACCCCGGGGTCACCCCGGCGAAGGGGCACTCCTGCCTGGCGGCCACGCGCAGAGCGGGGTGCAGCGGAGGCCCCTGCCAAGGAGCACCCTGCCTGCCTCCAGGGTGCCCCTGGGATTCTTGGGCGTCGGTGGCTTTGCGATGGGAAGGCGTGACGTTCCCACGCCAAAAATCAATGGACGTCCTGGGGCCTCGGGGTTGGGTTTCTGGTGGGAGGTTTCCTGTGGACGGGCCTCCACTGTAGGGGGGAGGGGGGGAGGCTTCTTAGGAGGAGGCTGCCTCTTAGAAGGCGCCGCCCCTGCATCTGCAGACAAAAGCCCGCGCCTTCCAGGCAGCAGGGGTGCTCCCAAAAGGCCTTCCCCCCCCCCCTCTCTCTGTGCGTGGCTGGCCTTCCCCCCCTCTGCGCGTGCCCCTACAGTGGAGGCCCGTCCACAGGAAACCTTCCACCAGCAACCCAACCCCGAGGCCCCAGGACGTCCACTTCGATTTCTGGCGTGGGAGCGCCGCGCCTTCCCGCCGCAAGGCCACCGACGCCCAGGACTCCCAGGGGCACCCCCTGCAGGCAAAAGCAGGGTGCTCCTTCGCAGGGGCCTCCGCTGCACCCCGCTCTGAGCGCGGCCGGCCTGCGCGCGGCCGACGATGGGAGTCGTGGAGCCCGCGGACGGACCGGCGAGGGCCTGCGCCTGCCAGCCGAGGCCCTCCGCCAGCGCCCCAAGCAGCTGGAGGGCCAGGCGGCGGTAGTGCTCGCGCAGGCTGCTCAGCGCCGCCGGAAGGCCAGGGGTGTCCTGGAAGTCGCTGCGCGAACCTTCCCTGGACGGGAAGACGAGTCGCTCGTGCAGGGCGGATGGCCGGATCGCGATCGCCACGTCGCCCACCGGATCGAAGCCACAGGAGCGATATTTCGCTTTGAGCTCCTCGCCCATGCCAAAGAAGGATTTGGCGCTGCTCAGGGCGCTCTGGATGAGGTCTGGCGGAATGGCATGGCCTACAGCGATGAATCCGCTAGCGCCCTCGCAGCACGACTCGTGGAGAAGCCTAACAACATGCCGCCGGCCCTCCGCACAGCCAGAGAACAGAGCGGAAACGTCGACGACGGCGACAGGCCCGGCAGTGCCCGCCTGGGGAGCCTCGGCGGCACCACGTTCCACGCTGTGAAAGCAAGCCTCGGGCCCTCGCTTGCAGAGCCTGCTTCCACTGAAATCCATTCCGACACGCTGCGCGAAACCAAAGCGGGCGCAGGCATGCCGCGGCGTCAACACGCTTGGACCAACGCGAGTTCCAATACACCAGGGAGCCATGCTACGGAACATCAAGCAAAGACACCAATACCTGTCTTCCCAATGCCAGACGAATAAGATGTTAGACAGCGTGCCCCCCGAACAATGAGTTGTTGCACTGTTGAGGTGCAGTATATGACGGGCAAGCAGTGTGGTGTAAGCTATGTCGTGTAAGCTTCGCGGTGTGAGCTACGTGGTGCAAACTACGTTGTGCAGCGTATGCGGTGTAAGCTGTGTAGGACAAGCTGTGTGGTGCGAGCTGAACGGTGTGGGCCATGTTGTGTAAACTATACGTTGTAAACTACGCTGTGTAAGCTATGTGGTGTAAGCTATGTGGTGTGAGCTTGGTTGGGCAGCACGTGTGGTGTGAGCTGTGCCACGTGGTGAAAGCCAGGCCGTGCAGGCTACACGGTGCAAGCCTTGCTGCGTCGGCTGTGCGGCGCGAGCTGCGCGCTGCAGGCTCTGCGGTGCAGGCTCCGTGGTGTCCGCTGTCTGGTGAAGTCCGTGCGACGTGAGCGCTACTACTAGTAGTACTAGTACGAGTACTAGTAGTACTACTAGTACTAGCAGTAGTACTAGTAGTAGTAGTAGTAGTAGTAGTAGTAGTAGTAGTAGTAGTAGTAGTAGTAGTAGTAGTAGTAGTAGTAGTAGTACTACTACTACTACGACTACTAGTACAAGTGGCTACTAGTAGTACTAGCAGTAGTACTGCTACTGCTACTAGTACTACTAATAGTCGTACTAGTACAAATTATTACTACGATAGTCTTACGACCAATCATACCACTACTCATACTACAACAACTACTACCACTACTACCACCACTGCGACTACTGCGACGACTACTACTACGACGACGACTACTACTGCT